ATTCATTTTTCTCTTTTTTTTTTTCAATATTTTTTCATCATCACCAAACTATTTAACATCTTTTCAATACTGTCACAACTATATACAACCACATAAATCAGATAAACATATGTAACTGAGTAGTTTGATTAAAAACGGAATTAACGTTAAAAAGAATTATATTAATGTTAAATTACATTATTATTATTATTTGAGTTGTAATTTAAATTATATAATTATATTAATGCTAATTAGGAATTTATTTCAAAATTTATAAATATAAATTTATTATATTATCATAATTAATTATATTAATTATGCATTTATTGTTAACACTATCAAACATTCACTTGATTTGGCATGATAGTGTTTTTTTGAAGATAACACTCTTCTTCGACAGCAATCTAGTTCGAGAACAAGGAGAAAAAACCTTAATCCATACTTAAAATTTGAAGACGGTCGTAAAAAGTTGACTTAATCTGAATCCCTTAAACCCAACCACGTAAGAACCATAACAATGATTGTTATATCAGAGATCTATAACTTATTTTCAATACATTATTTTAATTTCTATTCATATTTAACAGTAATATGATCACAATATGACTACAAAAAAAGCTGCCACCTTTTCAACACTAACTGCGTTGTGCAATCAGGAAAGCTGAAAGATAGATATCATGTTCAGACTGCAATATTGGGTTTTTTAGTTTTTACTTATTACAAACAGAAAAAGCTTCAACCAGTACAATATGGAGTTAATACTGGAATAAAGCCAAGTCACCAACCATCTTTTAACTCTACTGAATTTAGTTTATGATAATTAAGGGTAATTTTCAACCTTTCTTAATTCTTGTTATGATAATAACACCAATATATGTAGAACAGTTCCTCCTTTCTTTTACAGTTTAATTACACCTTTTAGAAGATTATTTTCATATGTGAAAAAAAAATTCTCCGAGATATTTCTATACTTAATTCTTTCCTCTATCCCTTTACACAATCTTTATTCAAACGAATATAACTTTTCTCCTTTCTCTTACCTATCATGTCTGTGTGAAAAAATGAATAGCAGAAACAATAAATGAAAAACAGATTTTCCTTTTTCAACAATGTTACACATTTATGATAAATTACGTATATGTTGCAGCAAATTTCAAATGTAAAGCTTTTTACAGTTGAGTTCCGCATTCAACGTAACAACAAATATAGTTAGAATAGATCATAATCTCATTCAGATATTATGTCAATAAGTGAATTTTAAGTGAATCTCAACTTTACAAAACTTACTTATAAAATAAGATTTGCATCTACTTATATATTATAAATTGATCTTATATTTAGTTGATACGAACCTTTCAACACATACGTGTATAAAAAATAGAAGTTTTTATAACTAGCAAATTTAAATCTGAGATATAGAGAATGTCGTTAGTAGATTCCAACTCATTTGGAAAAGTAACTATAGATACCCATATGCATGCATATACCGTCATATTTTGATAGCCCAAGTTGAATTTAGGATTAAGATAGAGAGACAGTATGTGGGAAGTACATTCCCAAAATCAATTAGTTTGGTTCAAAAAAGGGAAAGAAGAGAGTAACAGAAAGATTTGAATTTGCACCAGTCATTAAGAGCTTAGACATGAATATTGAAAAGAAGAAAAAAAAGAAAAGGAGCAGGGGTTTTAGCACCATGATTGCATCTCTTTAATGTGGTAACAACTACTGCAAGTACTACTGATAAGAGGAGTCACAATCTTCACAAAAATATCAAAAGGGGTATGGTGTGAGAGTGGTCCCAGGGGAATTGAAACCTTATGTCTTTTTATTTGGTATTGGAAGCAGAAAACTTAACATTTTAGCCAAAGTTGGAGACAGATCACATGCAAAGGAGCGTGCAAGCCACTTCATATACCGATATGTGTGCAGTGTAAATCAAGGTGATTTTCTGTGTTCTCTTCTAAGCTTTAATTACTCTCAATTAATTCTGCACTACTACCGGGAAACAAAAGCTAACCACCCATTAAACAAACCTGCTGTGCTGCTCCTAAGAGACACACGTTATCTTTGTCCAACCAAGTTGTTTCAATACACAAACATATTTCTCCTAAGGATGGATTCCTTAAGTTATGTACTCTATGGTTATGGGACCAATCCGATAAGACCACTAAGAAGGGTGATCGGTCCAAACAGCTTGCTGTAAGTATTATCATGCGCCATTCAATCAAGATAAGTAAATGTTGTCTATTAATCGATCGTATGGTCATAGAGATGGAAAATCAGACGAACGACCTCTAGCACTAAAGACCGCAGAGTGTTTTGTGAAGATCTTCGACCCTATTCCCGAAACAAGTTGACACTAGTGTCATTAGGAAAAACGACAACGGTTATTTTCGATCCAAAATTTTAAAATAATCAATTTATGAATCTTTGTCTGTCTTTATATGATTGATTCATTTTCTCATTTTTATCTGACGTGGAACTTAAACTTATATTTTGATTTTCAACAAATTTGAATTTGAATATCTTAGAACTAGATTATTTTCTTTTTTTAGGTTGTTTTGTAATCTTAGTACTACTTCAATTATAACAAGTATTGTTCCCTTTTATACCATGTTTGAATCAATACAGATACATTAATGATGCAAAGAAAAATTAATTGGGAGTTTCTTCATTTTGCTTTATATGTATATTTTTTGTGGTGTTCTTTGATTCTTCCTAAATTTAGAGGTGGAGGGTCAGTTTTTGCATTTAATTATTAAATTAGGTGGCTAAGTTATCATGCTTTTCTTTTTTTCTCTCTCAGGTTGGTGGATTGGCAATTTGTCCTTTGAGATTAAGAGATCACAATGATGAAACATGAAAAATCATTGATTCATTATTGCAGTGTGTATATTTTATGTTATCATTTTTCATTATTTCCACAAGCAAAAGGGTGTTAGAAATAAGCAAAACTCAATATCATGTCAATCCAAAGAAGCATGGAAACATTCTTGAGATGAGAATGAGATGAAAGTAACCTTGCATGCAAATCCATTCCCACCTAATAAGAGAAAAACAGTGATGGAAGCAACATGACTCATTGCTTCTTGTTTATCATAAAAGAAAACAATGTAAAAACATGTGCAGTGCAGCACACACATCTCTGTATAAAACAACATATTTAATGATAACTTACAACACACTTCCTTCTTATAAAAATATCCAAACATATTAGAACATGATTTAACATGAGCATGGAGCAGTTTGGTATATATTCTCTAAGACATGCAGTACATATATATAGATTACGAAATTACATATCTACAGTATCAGTCAACAACTTGATAATTATATTGGTTAAAGTTACTGTATAATTTGACACATAATCTGATGAAAATAAAATAACTATGAACTAAACCAGCATGTTGGTTAATTCAGTTAAAGAGTACAATAATTGATTGAAAATGTGGGAAATTATTCAGCAGAGTCATGAGCTGTCTGTTATATATACTGTTTTTAAGTGCAGCAAATATACTTTTAAAGAAATTATTAGCAGAAGAAAAAACAAAACAGATTCTATTTAAGATTGTACATGTACAAAATAAATCATCAATTATAAACTAATATTACCATCATCAAGCTTTTTGGAAGATGATATCAATTTCATCACTAACAAGACTCGTGTTTAAAAAAAATAATAGATTACTATAATGTATATGTAAAAAAGATGTTCCGAATAAATACATATACATACANATACATATATATATATATATATATATATATATATATATATATTTTTTTTTTTTTCTTAACAAATACCCATCTACAAAATAGAAGATATATAGCTAGTGGTATTTGATTGTAAATTAAAAGATAACTGTATAATTTTATTAATTTATTATTTTGAAACTTTATAATACCAAAAACACCTTTTATACTTCAGACAAAACAAGCAACTTTTATAAAAGCTATTGTTAAAAATAGCTTTTACTTTTGTAAAAGTGTTTCATGGGTGGGCCTATTCGTAGTGCATAAAAGACTGAAATAACAAAACATTCATTAAAATAAGTATCTCATGTGGAAAAAATATTCAGACATCAATGATTTTACTCACACATCATATAGATATTTCTGTTTTCATAATTTTGAAAAACTCTTCAAAGTTAACAAATGTAAAAGCTTTAGTCAAATATAAGAAGTATTAAATTAAATAAAATAAAAATGTGGTTAGTAAGTTAACCGGACCACAAGTTTATATATTTTATTTTACATTAAATTAAATTGAAGCCAAATATTATTTAACCTAAAGTTTTTAAAATAGTATATAATTGGGATGTTATCATGGGTCATGAAAGTCTTTTAACTTCAACACTGAGTGAAATATACCCTTGACCAGTCATCAATAATATAAACATAGGATATATTTAAATGACACAAGTAATTGCACAAACATGTTTGATGTCGGATTCTTCAGTGTAAAAATGAACTTTTTATTTTTAAAAATTGTAAAATATGTCAATAGTAGTTGAATGTTTAGATTTAGAAGAAAGAAACCATCAAAGTAACCACCTTTTTTTTTTTCTCTTGCATTAAATCATACCAACAATCCTAATAAATTACATATACCTGGGATAAGAGTAAAGGAAGAACCTTTGAGAACAAAAATAGAAGAACAACTTGTGGGGCATAACATAACCAAACAAACAACTAAGAAATAATTCAAATGGGAAATGATGTGTTTAGAAGATATAATCAGAGGTAGAGTGAGGGCGTGTCTGATTGGGGTGGCATTGACTCTTCCCAAGGTAAAGAAGACACCATGATCAAGTCAAGGCAAAACCTGAGGGCGTGTTGTTCACTCTCCAATGAACATATATAATAGTCACATAATTGCTTCTGAGACTGAGAGAAACCATTGGAGCGTGAAACCAAACTCAGAGAAATTGGAGTAAACCATGGTGAACAACGCAAAACAAAGGGTGTTGTTGAGTTCAGCTATGTTTTGTTTTTTGAAAATTGGAAGTAGTAAATAAGTAAATAAATAGCACCGGAATTAGAAAAGCTTGTCAGAGGTTAGAGGCAGGTGAAAGTTTGAACATGCAGTATTTGAAACAAGGATCTGGATCTGAGAGAAGAAGCACACAACACAACATAAGATAACATTATTATGGGGCACAAATACCACACACACGCACGGCCTCTAGCGTTTGTTTAATGATACCATGGCATGAGAGAGAAAGGGTCTACATAACATAACACAACACAGAGAAAGTGGGGCAAAGTGAGTGGGGTGGGAGAGAGAAGAAAATCTTGGCCTAATTGTTGAGGCTGAGAAAGATAAAAGGGCAAATCAGAAATAGTTCAGCTCTCAACTTCACTGCCCACTCTTGCCCAGAACCCCATAAAAACACACAAGGGTCACTGATGCAATTGATGTTTTTTCTGCTGCTTCTATCTGCAACCATGTTATGAATAGGGCGGTGGTTTGGCTTTTGGAGTAACTCGACAACCATTGTGTTTGAGGTTGATGGGTACAACTGCTTTCAAAAACATTAACTAAATCAAGAGAGAGAGAGACCTTGTTTTCCTTTCACAGGTAAAGTCCTAGTCTTTTGCTCATGTCTGCATTTTGATTTTATTTTGGACAAGGTTAGAGATTTAGATGTTGGAGGGAGAACAAAAGAAAGGAAAAGAAACGAACTTGTTTGTAAGTTTGTCGTTCTGTTGTTTCTGCAACTTTGACACTCATTACTTCTTTATAGATTCAACTACCATGTTATGTCCATCTCTATTTTCTTTTTAAAAATTCGTTCTTTTTATCAAAGGTAACTTTTGACACCCTTCTCCATTAGTCTTCTCCCATTAATCATGCACACGGGAATACTACTTTTAACACTCAACTTTCTTACTCTCCTTTCTTCTTTAACTCGCTTTTCTTTGCTTGCAGGAATACGAGAAAGAAAGTCACTGTATCACCACTCATCTCAAGTTGGTAGGTAGGGCTTGTGTGTGGTTGAGAAAGAAACTTTACTTGCAACAGGAGTGAGAAAGATAGCCACTAGTGAATAGAGAGAGAGACTCAACTTGGAAAAGAAGATTTGATTTTTAGGGATAGACTAGTTTCTTTGGAACCATGTAGTAATCCCTTTTGTTCACTCATGGATGGTTACGAAGCTACACGAATTGTGTTCTTAAGGGTCCAAACTTTGGACCCAGAAAATGCTTCCAAAATCATGGGTTTGCTTCTGCTTCAAGACCATGGTGAAAAAGAAATGATTAGATTAGCATTTGGTCCAGAAGCACTTGTTCACTCAGTGATTGTTAAAGCCCGCAAGGAGTTAGGTTTACCTTTGAACTCTCCGCCAACACCCTCCACTCCTCCTTCTCCTTCACCGTTCCTTCCGAGGCAGAACTCTACTTCTTCAAGGCTCGGTGTTATCAACCTCCCTCCCTCTCTCACCATTCCAAACCCTTCTTCTACTTCTTCTTCATGGCCTACTATGTCTGAGCTTCAAACCCCTGATAGTTTGATGAGCCCCAACAATTTGGTTGTTGGCTCTTCTACTTCTTCATCCTCCTTATCCTTTTATGCAAATGGAGGCTCAGATCCGATTGATGACTTCCAACTTCAAGACCAGCTCTCTTTTCTGAATGATGGTTCTGCTCATGCTCACAAAAATAACCCTGATTTGTTTTACCCTTGTCACTCGGACTTGTCTTCAAGTCCTACTGCTGCTTCTGACCCTACTCTCTTTCCTTCCTTCGATTGGGGAGGGTCTCTTCACCGCAGGAGTTGTTCTGTCAATGATGTTTGTTTGGGCTCTGAGGACTCCAATTCCGGGTTGGGGTGGAAGCCTTGTCTTTACTTTGCTAGGGGATACTGTAAAAATGGCACTAGTTGCAGGTTCCTTCATGGTGGACTTGGAGATGCTGATGCTGCTGCTCCCGCTGCAATGGTTGGGTCTCCTAGCAAGCTTGAGATGATGGAGCAGTGCCATGAGCTTTTCAGAGCTAAATCTTCTCAACAGCAGAGACTGGCTGCTGCTTCTCAGTTCATGGCCTCTTCTACTTTTCCATGCTCCCCTAAGTGCATGAATTTGCTGTTGCAGCAGCAACAGAATGATACTCAACGGTACGTAGTGCTTTCATACCATGCAATCATGTGTTTTGATTAGTGCTGTCTTTGTAATGGTTGAGGTGTAGGATTCTAATCATGACTGATAATAATTGCAGAGCTGCAGCTCTGATGATGAGTGAGGATTTGCATAAATTTGGACGATCCAGGCTTGAAAGAAATGATTTTTCTCTGAACAGTCCTGGAATGGTAAACCCAGCTTCCAGGCAGATCTACTTGACTTTCCCAGCAGATAGCACTTTCAGAGAGGAAGATGTTTCAAATTACTTCAGGTTATTGTTGTTTAGCTTTTGCCGGAGTTCCAATGCATGGTATGACAATGGCAGAAATATTAACTAAGTTTCTAATTCTGTGGTTGAAGCATTTATGGCCCAGTCCAAGACGTGAGGATCCCATACCAGCAGAAGAGAATGTTTGGCTTTGTTACCTTTGTTTACCCGGAGACTGTGAAGCTTATTCTATCTAAAGGAAATCCTCATTTTGTGTGTGATGCTCGAGTGCTTGTTAAGCCTTACAAGGAGAAGGGCAAAGTCCCGGACAAGTACAGGCACCTCCTCTCTCTGCTCTTTCGTTATCTTTCTCTTTCTGGTTATCTTGAGCTTTTTTAACGTGTTCATGTTTTTGTGTGATATCCAGGAAGCAGCAGCAGGTAGATAGAGGAGATTTTTCACCAAGTGGTACTCCTACTGGACTAGATGCTAGAGACCAATTTGATCTTCAACTTGGTAGGTTAATGCTTTTGGTTAAACCTTCTTCTTTACTATCTTTTCAGATTATGTTGGTCAAACCTACTGTACTTAACACTTTATTGTCTTGTATGTTTTCAGGAGGCAGAATGTTCTACAATACTCAAGACATGCTGTGGAGGAGGAAGCTGGAGGAGGAAGCTGATTTGCAGCAAGCTCTAGAGCTCCAAAGTAGGAGGCTAATGGGCCTGCAGCTTCTTGACATCAAGAAGCATCACCAGCGTGCACTCTCCACTGGAAGTCCAATTCCTTCCCCAGCACACTCTCTTAACATGTTCAACCAAAATCTTGTTCTTCCTTCCTTTCACAATATTTCCGAGGCCCCAAAGGGTATATCTCTCTTTTACATTTGAAATGAGCTGATTCCAGCTGCTTTTGAATTGAACTCGGTGCATTTTTTGGGAGTGTTATGAATTTATTGAGATTTGTGCTACTTGGTTCCAGAGAATGGTTCAACTTCTGCTCCACCTAGTACTGATTCAGTTTCTGCTGGTCTGCAATCTGTCAACGTTTCTGTTGGCAAGGAAGTGGTGGTCAATGGCGAGAATGGATTAAATGAAGGCAATGACAAGCAGAACTCTGGTCATGAAGATATTGATTTGCAAGAATGGTATAGAACTTGCTCTTATCTAGAATAGTTAGAGGGCACCAGAATAGTAAACACCTTTTTGCACCAAACTCTTTTTCAGTCCATGCCAAAAAACATTGTGCATTTATTCAGGTTTTCCTAATTTCCTGATTTGATGGTCCTATTTTGAACGGTTTATGAATAAATACAGCTCGGAGCATAATCTCCCTGATAGCCCTTTTGCTTCCCCAACAAAAGCTGCTGGAGACTTGATGGTTTCCTTCTCTAATGGAACTGTTGAGGCCATTGACACAGATGCCTCGGGTGCATCTGTCAACTCCAAATTTGGTACTAGTGCATTGCTTCCACCAGCATCTGCAATTGACATGGGGACTTTCAAATCCTATAACTGTCAAATACCAAGGTATTGTTGTCATTACATTCTTTTCTTGCTTTTCCCATGGCATGAGTTTTCATTATTCATAAATTTTTGAACTTTTTGTGATATGGGTTTGGATTCAGGTTCCCTTCTGGCCATGGAACTTTTGGGATGTTCCCGGGCACGGGTGGCCCGATTGGCATTTAGTTTCCTGAGTTCAGGTAAAGGTAGTTTGGAAGTTTATGTTGATGAAGTTCTGTTGCACTTGTTGTCTTCAAGGTGGATTGATTTGTTGTTTAGTATATTAAATTTGGATGTCGGTTTGGTCTTTTTTGTGCAATATTTACAGGAAGTGAAAGATGACTAAACAAACCGGGACAAATGAGTTGAAAACCACCATCATCACCACCACCACCACCATGACGGCCATCACCATCAATCATTAATACTATACTTGTTACAACCATACAAAATGCATACGGAAAAAGCAGTTGAGTAAAGAAGGTGGGGCTGGCATTCCCCCTTCTTTTGTTATATTAGCATTATTATTCCACCATTTTCTTTTTATCGTATCTGTAGTAGTAGCTGAGTGAACCACAGGTTAAAATAACACAGAAAGAATCACCAGAGTCAAATGTGTAATAGGAACTCCCAAGCACTGTAATTTCATCTCCTACCCTCGGTTATGTAGTAGTGTAGAGTGTTAGTTCAATGTTGTTACAGGTATAATTTCAAGTCTTTGTATAGCTGGAGCATTTCCCAGAGAAAAACATGCACAGATGAAGTGGTAAAAGCAAAAAGGCAGAGCTTTATAACTCCAAGGCTGATTCAAACCCCCCAGTTGAAGGGTAACTTGAATTTGAAAGCTATAAGTGAGGAGAGGACTGTAAAAGTGTTAATCTTAGCTGATTAAAGTTCAAAGTGGAGATTTTTAGCATGGAGGTTATGTTTAATCAGTTATGCTTGTACTTCTACTTAGTTGTTACACACAGTTATCAAAGAAAGAATTAGAAAGAAGAATCAAAAGTTGAGATTTTAGTCTGATTGGTCTATTTGCCTCTCCTCTTTGCTTTATTTATTTTGAAGGAGAATTTGTCTCTTTGTTCTTGCAATTATTTTTGCCTTTCAATTTGTAAATTGGTGGGGTCTGTCTTTTTTTTTGCCATTATTGGAGAGGAAAGAAGAGGGTCCAAAATGCACAGCATCACATGGGGGTTGCTGACACTGCAAGTGGGCCTCACACATTTATATAATGCCAGGTTGTGTATAGGTCCTACCCACCAGCACCTACCCATGTGAGTGATGCCACTTTTCTTTTTCATCTACCCTTTAATCTGCAATAATAAAATATGTACCCTTAAGTTTATCTTTCATCACTGGAAAGGACATGCATAGATCTAAAAGTAGGGTAGATGCCCCACATATGACAAAACTCTCCAGTTACTCGAATCTTTGGGGCTCTTTGGGGCTCGGTTGCCTTATGAATGTGTGACTTAGCCTTGATTTACTGTGCTTTCTTTGTATTGCTCTCTTTCCAGTTTTCCATAGCCCCCAAGTGTTTGTGAAAAAGCTCCATCTTCAAAACTAGACTCACCTCACCTCACCTCGGGCACAACACAAGCGACAATGTATATTGGTTGGTTTATTACCTTAGTGCCTTTTTCTTTGATCAAAACCAAAGATTTTTGAACGTAACATATTGCCTGCAACAGGTTTAATGTGTTAGCCTAAAAAAAAATTTAAATATTGGTCTCCCTCCATAATAGATACAGTGTGTGATTATTATTATGCATGGAAATTAATTATGGTCTTGAATTATAAAATACTTCATCATATTTTAAGTATAAATTAATCTTCACCTCTCACATTTCAGCAGAACTTTGCACTTTGAATGAACAAATGTACAACTTAAATTATGTGAATAAAGTATGAAAACTTGTGTCGTTAGAACAAAAGACAAAAGACAGAACACTTTGGTGCTGTAGTTAACATCCCTAAAATGTCGAAACCCAATTTAAGCACTTTTGATTAATATTTCTAGTAATTTGATATCTTGTTGCCAAGATTTTGACCAAAAGGGTGTTGTTCTCGAGTGAGCTACATTGACTAACACGGAAGAACTAAAATTTAGGAAACCAAGATGAAGAGTGGATTTGAGCTTTGTTATCATAACTCATTAAGTTTATATATGTAGGTTGTGGGTAGTTGTGTTATTCCAATGCTAGAAGAGTCTCCTTGGTTAAGCAATCCTGCCAGATTGTTTCCACTAACACGAGTGCATTGGGATAAGTTTCCATGACAGTGATTTTCTATTAGCATGCATTATTAAGTAAAAGTTATTAGTAGTTAGCAAGGTTCTTAAGGTCACCAAAACAGTCATCAATTGCTCCGAGGTTTAAGAAAATAACACCAAAATTCAATGTTAGTAAATAATGTTATTGTCAAATCAGAAAAAAGATAAATGGGTCAGAAAAGTTAATGGTTTGTTTTGGACAGACTCCTTGTAGTGACTGCACCTGCAACTGCAATCATCCCAACATGCTTGGTTGAATTGCAGACTTGTCATTAAATGGCTTAATACACAATAAATATAATGCCTACTTGCTACATCTAAGTTGTTTCAATTTACTGTAACCAGTAAAAGTTGGGGAAAAACAACTCTATCAATAACCAACTCAATTTAAAATAGACATTGTTTTCAAGCTAGTAAAGTGAGTTAAAAGTTTGACCAATTAAATGTATGGTTAACAAAAATATCAGTGATTCAGAAAAGAGAGAAGATTAAACATGCACTTAAGTTAAAATATTATTTAACATTCCATTTTTATTTATAGTAATTTTATATTTTTATTCATCTTAGAATTCATTTATTAATGTAGTAAACAAATATAGACCCTGAATAATGAATATGAAAACTTGGATCTGTGTAAGTAACATGATGTTGCAGAATGCTCTTCATCCTGTTTATCCACTGTTTGGTTTTGAAAATAAAAGTGTATATTGACAACTAAAACAAAATTTTCCATTTGATGGAGACATTTAGAATATATAATATATATAAAATTGAGGCTAAAGAAATATAGTCATAGGCAAACAGAACATTACCTCAATGGTGGTGACCCATGACTAGTGATTGTGGTTAGAAGTGAGTAGCTAACCCATGTCTGGTTTGTTGTAAGTTGAAACATTATTAAATGTGTAATGGGAACTGAAATGTACTAGTGATAAATAAGGCTGTGCTGTTTTGTTGTAATCCCTTTATGATTAAGACATGCTTGCAAATGCCACAGTCTTATACGTGCATGTGGTTATATTTTAGTTGCATAGGATTCTTCAAACACTGTCAATCAGGGAAAACGGATGGTGACCCCTGCTACCAATTTCGACTGCACAATTTCTCAGTTTTTTTAAAAACAGTTACTGTCTTATTTTCTGCTAGTTGGACTAACTCAAAGTAATAGTTTATTTATTGAATATTACTATAAATAATTCTCTGAGTAGAAATTCATCAAAGTCATTGTTGAAAGATTTTATATATATATATATTTTATTTTATAAATTTTTATAAAAAACAAAACAAAACTTCATAGGATCATATAAATCAACTGAGACAGATTAATGATTTTTTAACTAAAAGTTAAACTAGAATTTATTTTTTCTAAATAGTAATAAGTGTGTAAAAAAAAGAAAGAATAAGCATCCTTTTCAAAAGGATGATTAAGTCAGAAAATGTAATTTGGTTTATTGGTTTTATTTAAATGAGGAATGGTGTTCACGTCCATCAAATAATTGAAATCACCATTGTTGAACTGAAAATATGGATTGAAGAAGATTTTGAAAATAGAATATTCATGAGAGAAAAATGATTGAAAAGAGAAGAAAGTGTTGAAAAAATATGAGGGAATTGGGAAGGTCAAAGCAAGGGTACAGTGTGCATAACATGATAATGTTGGCATATTATTTTGCAAGAATATTGGTTCCACATGTTATGAATGGATTAGACTAGTTCAAATGCACATGCACTTCAAGACACAAAAACTCACACAATTCAAAGTTTAAGATTAGAACAGATGTACTATGTTTGTATAATGTTTAGACAGGATAAGAAACATTTGTAGTGCAATTTTTTTAGCACAAGAAAAGCACCAAAAGTACAACAACATTCGTGCAACATTTTATGGCAAAGAGAAACAGTTGTAGGAATCAAACCAAAACTTCTTGATAAGAAAGAGTTCGATTCAATATATTTAGTTAATTAATTTATCTAAAAATTTAATTATGACCAATTAAACTTATAAGGAATATATCTCTTAATTTATATTTGAAATTAAAATTGGTTTTCGTTTCAAACTTTAAATATATTTTATCCTAAATTTTAAAAGTAAATTAATGTAATATCCTAATTCAATTGTTTTAAAATTTGTTGATGTATTTATGCTAATGTTTAAGTTGTTTATATAATTTAATATATTTTAATTCAAATATTACTATGGAATATTGTTTAACACATAAAAAAAATTAACTTAATTGGATTAAGATGATCATATACATTTATTTACAAAGTTTATATACTAAAATTTATCAAAGTTTAAGACAAAAACAATTTTCAATTTCAGTTCAAGTTTAGAGACTCTAAACATATTTAATCTTGAATTTAAAAATTTTAATTTTTTAAGTAACAATCTATGAAAAATTAAATAGTATGAGAATGGAGATTGATGAGAGTGTAGATATGAAATTTTTAAGGCTTTTTGAGTATGTGGTGTGAATAAATGGAATAGTAATGTGCTTTACAATAGCTTAAATATGAAAAGATATTGAGCATGAATACTTGGGATTGGTGTATCAACTTTGGAAAAATACATGGACGTAAACAACTCATAAATAAAATAAAAGAATTGTTATATATTATGAATTTTTCTAATTAGTAGTTTTTTAAAAGAAATATTAAACATATTAATACAATATTAAACAAAAATTAAAACTTGATACTTGATTTGAGTGATTTACTGATATATAAACTCGTTTCGTTTATTGCTTTGAAGAATTGAAGGAAGAGATTAGTATAAAATTTGGAGGTGGGAAGTTGGAAAACGTTAGTGTGAATATCACGAATCACACAACTGGGTTCAAGTAAATAGGCTCAACTTTTGGCCCAATTAGTCTGTCTTTCTTCTTTTTATGGGCCTTGTCTATATATAGTATATTTTTGTACAGTTTTATTTATTTTTAAAGATAAATGGATGACAATTTTTTTTTCATCTAAAATTTCTGATCATGATCTGGAAAAGAATTTATTTCAATAAAGAACTATTTGTAGCTTCAATTAAATCAAGAATAATAAATGATAATTCTTATATATAAATTTTAATTTAATATATAAACATATTTTTAAAAATATAATGAAGAATATATATATATAACTTTTGTCTGTGGACTAATTGAAAACTTATAAAAGATTAAATATATGTTTAGTGTCTTGAATTTTTTTGTGAAATTGAAATTTGTTTTATTTGAAATTTTGATAGAATTTGAATTTTAATGACTTTATGAATGAATGGATATAATTATTTTAACTCAATTAAGTTATATTTTTTATTTGTCAAACAAGTTTTATGGTAGTATTTGAATTGTTTATCCTGTTTTATATTTTTTTATTTCAATGTTAATCGAAAAATACATTTGAAATGTCAAAAATATTTAATGTAATTAGGTTATAATGAATATATTCGCTTATTTTAAAATTTGAAGACGATAATATATCAAAGTTTTGGACAATTATAAATTCTTTTTTTTTTTAACTTGCCTTGTTAGATTATAATTAATATGTATATGTCATTTTTATAAAGCCATTGCTATGATTTTCAAACATGATAATTACATATTGAAACATGTTAAAGGGTTTCATTATATAATTTAACGTACAAATAAGATTCTAATAATTATTTACGGAGTTATAGTTTTTTCATAAGTCTAATAAGTCTAATAAGTTGAATTATCAAATTTTCTATGTGATGTTGAATTATTGATGTATCAGAACGA